GTGGCCGGACGCAAACTAACTTTCTTTTCTTTTCTTTCTCCCCCTCCCCGCAGGATTACACCTTAACCATGTATTTTCAACAATACTGGAGAGATAAAAGGCTCGCCTATTCCGGGATCCCTCTCAACCTCACGCTGGACAATCGGGTGGCTGACCAGCTCTGGGTGCCGGACACGTACTTCCTAAATGACAAGAAGTCGTTTGTGCACGGCGTGACCGTGAAGAACCGCATGATCCGCCTCCACCCCGACGGGACGGTGCTGTACGGACTCAGGTGTGTCTGCCCTGCGGGGCCGGTGTCGTGGCTGCGCGGGGGCGCCGTGACCTTGACTTTTTCCCCGGAGGTGGTGGTAGTACGTGAGGCCATGCCCTCAGATTCATGACGCCCGTGAAACACTTGGCGCTCTGCAGGAAAAAAAAAATCGCATAAATGTAAGATTGGGGGCATTACTGTTACTATAAATAGACATCAAGCCAGTGAAAAACAGCCTTCTCAGGCTGAGTTTATATAACTGGGCTGCCGTATCTGAGGACACACATTCCCTGAGGGTGGATTTCCCATATCATAGCCACAGAGGCCGGTAATTAATATCACCCCGGTACTTTAGAGGCTTTTGGGGAAGTTTCCCAAAGCCATTTGCAGAGTTGAACAAAAAATATCTAGTTGTGCCCACCTATGGTGTCGTCCCCACGGAATCTAGTGAGGTGGTGCCACCAATATTTATGCGAACGAGTGGATGCGAGGCTTCTGGGTGAGAATCGTCTCTCACCAAGTTGCCTAATAAAATCACTTGAATCAGGAAAGCAGGCTGCTGTCTGGAACGCCGAGGAGGCCCTGGGCTTGCCTGGTTACCCTGGAAACCACCAGGCATTCCCGGGACGCCCCCACCTGGCCTTCCGGTGACGCCCCACCTCTGCTGGTGGTTAGTGATTGTGACTTTCACAGACGGATGCACTTAGCAGATCTCTGTCTCTCATGTTGATTTAGCACTGGGTTTTGTTTCCTTTTATTTGAGAGTAGCGTATCTGTGTCTTTCTTGATCTCCTGGCCTGAAAGTGCCTGGAAACCCTCCTTCCAGGGGTGGCCACCGTCTGGAGTGGGGCACAGGCGGCTATCTTGGAGAAGGGGTTTCTCTCAAAGTGTTGTGAATCTCTAACCACGGCTCCAGCAAATCTAAGTCTGCTCATAACACCGTGCATGTAAATGCACGCTGCCAGGACTTCTAGTGCTTCAGGGTGCTTAAAGGAAATTATTTAATATTCCTTCAGTGGAAAATGTTGAGTGACTTCCTCAAATGTTGAGTGACCAGGATATAGAATGAGTTGGAATTTTAGCAAAAATTAGATTTTTTAACTGTAAGAGAAAGAAAGTGGCGCTTGTCACCTAAGCCATGGTGTCACTCTGGAAAGAGTGTAGATTGATGTTTCTGTGGGATGTTTTCAGCATTTTATATTTTCACCCAGAAACGAGAGATATGGTTATAAAGTTCTGGAGGCTTTGACAAGTACAAACAGATCGGTTGTACAAAAGATTATCCAGAAACCCTGTGAGCAAAAATGAGGAGATATGTCCTTCCTAAAAGAAGTGAACAGAAGTGTGTGTGTGTGCGCGTGTGTGTGTGATAGCACACACACAGTGCAGGGGGAGCAAAAGGAAACAAATAGCAATAAAAACCAGGCTAAA